GGCCCGCCGGGCCGCTTCCCGGCGTGGTGGGGGCCGCCCGGGCTGCCCGCAGAGGCTGCCCTGGGTGTGCTCCTGAGAGCAGCCCCGGCTCAGCGATGCTCTCCGCCTCCTGCCTGTGCTCATGCCCTGCCTAGGGCCGACCGCGACCCCAGAGCCCCAGCGCCCCCACCTCTCTCCCGGGTTTCAGGGCTCAGAAGCCTGTCGGAGGGTGGTCCAGACCACCCGGTTCCCAAGAGCGCACCTTTAGACGGCACGTCTAGCCGTTTTCTGTAAGTATTCTGGCCACCAAGGATATAGAAACTTTAAAGGCGGGACGTTTTAACTTTTCTCCGGGCCTTTTTCCGTCAAATGGCTCAACACGTAGTAAAAAATGATGGTTGCTGGAGCTCAGGTGTGTTTACGTAGCTCAGCGTGTGCGTACCGAGCCTGAGCTCTGAGTTCAATCCCTAACACCTGCCTTCAAATACGCTGTGTTGGAAGTTGAGGAAAGTAATGCCCGCCGTCAGTAATGGAGGGAAGCGTTTTCTCTGAGTGGATAGCACATAGACTGTCACTATGAGCTGTGGAAACGCTGACCTAAATCTCTGGCTATGAGATTATGTTCCAAAAATCCCAAGTCCACTGCCAGTCTATAAACATCTGCTTCCTGAGACCCAACCTGTGACTTTGCCACATTTGTTGACAAAACACGTATTACGCTCTGGAGTTTGTTTTTATTGAGACAAGACCTTCTATAGTCCATGCTGATTTAAAGCTCCATGTGTAGCTTGGAACACTTGGTTTTCTGCCTCTGCCTCGCAGTGTGGAATTATAGGCTACTAAGCAAATTTGAGGCCAGCCTGAGCTACGTAAGGCCCTTTCTGAGAAAGGGAGGGAGAGGAGAGGTCTAAAGTTCCTCTGTTTTACAAACCAGGCCTGAGTTTCAGTTTCTTAAACAGTGCTGTTAACAACACCCCTGACAGCAGGGACAGGGAGAGAGCATGTACAAGGCCTGTTTTTGCCACAGTGTCTCAAAGCAATGACCAAATAAGGACAGTTCCTGCAATCCCTTTGAAACACATCCAGATTTGCCCAGGTAGGATGGGAAAAGTAACCTCAGCCAGTCAAAAGTATACTAGCTTAACTGTTACCTGCTTGACCAATCATGTTAAAGATGACCTAACTTCCTGGAATTCCCCTAATTGTGCTTGCTCTCAGGGTCACCATCTGTACAGTGGTCGACCCTGCATACTGGTAGTTTCTGGAGAATAAACACTTTGTACATACCATTCAAGTCTGGGGTCTTTCTTCAGTGATTCTGAGACCCTTGAAGAGAGACAGAGTGCATGGTGCATCTCTGAATCAACTGATCTTGAAAGTGCTGAGTACTAGTTTGAAATGCTCAAGATTCAGCCACAGCCCTCACTCAGATTGAAGAAACATTCAAGTCTCTCTCAAAAGTAATTATTCTCTCAATAAGTCTCTCAAAAGGAATGCTAGGGTTGGTGTGTAACTCAATGATAAAAACATTGTGGTTTGATCCTTATAACAAAATACTGAAGAAAAACAAGAAACAAAAGATTTATTTTGCCAAAGATTTAGTCCTTGGTTAACTGACCCCATTGCTTTAGACCTGGGACAGGGCAGAGACATGATAGCAGAGAAAAGCTGCTGACCCTTGGGGACAGCTAGGACACAGAGGTCAGCAACAAGTGTAGCCTTCCAAGGCATGCCCCTAGCAACCTGCTCCGTCCCACTGGGTCTCCTTTCTCTCAGTCCATTCAGAATAAACCGATAGCGTTAGCCCATGGGTGATGCTGGCACCTATATCACATGGTATGATGAAGGGTCCAGCCATCTCACACCTCAGCTGGATGGTACTTCAAAATGAGATATACTTCATGTCCTATTGTCAGAAGTTTTCTGTCCTGCCCGGTTCCTGCAGTCATTAAATCCCAAAGAAATCACAGAGGTCTACATCAATTATAAACTGATTGGCCCATTAGCTCAGGCTTTTTATTAACTTTTATAACTTATATTAGCCCATTATTCTCATCTGTTGAGCTCACTGCACTCAGTCTCCTGAAGCAGTGTCCTCTAGGGACTTGACATCCCATCAAGGAACAGCGCTGACTATCCATTACCAGCAGTTAGTGAGGTACACTACTTTTAGGCCTTTGGACTGGACAAGATGCAAATGGGCACAGGACAGTTTGGCTACCTTCTGTTAAGGGGCTGTAGCCATAAGATCTATTTTGCTGTTGTTTTCTCAAGACAGGGTTTGTTTCTCTTTGTAGCTTTGGAACTCGCTGTCCAGACCAGACTGGCCTCGAACTCAAAGATATCCACCTGCCTCTACCTCCCGAGTGCTAAGATTAAAGGTGTGTGCTACCACCAGCTGGCAGAACATGATAGTGTTTAACATGCATAAGATCCTACATTGAAGAAGAAAAAGAGTGCTAGACTTAGAAAACTACTACTCCTAACCCACAGTTGACAGGTTTTGTTTGTAGTTTGCTGCCATTTGAGACAGTCTTGTTTCACAGCCCACACTGGCCTCAAACTCAAATTCCTATAGCCTGAGCCTCGTACTTGAACACAGATGCCAACCACCATGCTGCCCATCTTGAAATGGTTTAATAAACTTTATTACAGCAAAGAACTTCTTTGTTGCATGTTGTCAAATAAAATATGATGAAAAGCATTAATATTAACAAATTTCATGCCCTTTTAAAAAAGTCTATCAAATAAATTCAACATTCAGTTTACACATCTTAAAATGATTTTTATTGAATGGGTTTTAACAACATTGTTTTTAGACCGTGTGGCTACCCCACACAAAAACAACACATCGTGAATGCTGTTGCATAGCCTCAGTATCACCTAGCATGTTTGTACTTGGAATACAGTTAAGCTCTGCACATCACATAATCAAGCAAACAGCAATGCATACTCTATTATTTAAAAAGACTTTGTGCATTTCATTAAAAAAATCATTTTGCAAGTGGTTTCAGCTTTATCAACAGTCTCATTTGACACATTCTATACTTCATGCTCTCAAAATAAAAAGTGGCCTAAAACTAAGACTTTTTAAGTTACTGACATTAATGAATACCATTCAGGTCTACAGAATTAAAGTTTAACATTTTACATTATAAGCAGCAATAAGTTACTGATTATCTGATGACAAATCCCATTCAAACTAAATACATCCTGTTACATTCAAAAGACATTTTGTAAATTTTAATATGCAATTTTGTATGCTACAGTGCAAAAGAATTAATACCCTAATGTTTCCTGAGCTTTAGGAAATTAACAATTTTCTGACCACTACTCTCAATTTAAAATATGCTCCTTCCTATGCAAAGCCATGTCAAAACTATACAATTAAATTAGGTTGTTTTGAGAACTGAAAAGATTGGCTTAGGGTAATGACAAGGTTTTCAAGCAGAAGTTTTACAGCACTGAAGAGGGCACCTGGATCTGCCCAGAGCAAAGGTCAGAGAACCTAATGGCCAAGTGTCCCGTTTCTTCCAAACAGTGCACTGAAAGACATCATGGCAAGTTATTTAGCATTAAATATTAACAACTTAATATTACACATTTAAACAGACCCTCTCATAATGCCCAGTACAAAGGAATAAATGTGATAAAAGGTGAAAATCAAAGAAACATGCTTTAAGGAATGATTTGAATGCGTGTGCGAGTGAGGACGACTCCTCGTTAGAGCTCTGTACCCTCAAAACTACAACGATCGAGTTTCTACTTCAATCTTCTCCTCTGCTTGCAGTACATCAGGGTCAGCATGAACCACTGGAGGCCGGAGGATGACTTCAGGCCCTCCACCATATATGGACTGCAGGAAATTCCATGTTTCTTCTGAAATTTGACCAGAGTCTGCTCCTAAAATTGTATGCAAAAAATGTTTACAAACATGAATATACTGCACAGATATGAGCTACAACACATAATATTTTAAATGTCAAGAGTTGCGTATTCCTAGTTCTTACTAACAGCTCTAAAACCCTCCCACAACTAACACACACAACTTTCTCACCCTTTGTTCTACCATAAGCCTGAACATCTCTGAATTAGGTTAATTAAAAAAATAACAGGATGATTGGTTAGTATTTCTACCAGTGAGGAATCGTCACAAGTAAAGGTTTCAGTATTAATTAAAGCATGTTGGTGCAGGCCTGAGATCCCCATGCGTGGCAGGGAGAAACAGGAGGATCGCAAGTTAAACCCATTCTGGGCTACATAGCATATTCAAGGCAAGTCTGGGGTATATGATACCCTGTCTCAGAAAAGAAACTGTGTTTATTAAACAAACTTACCTTGCTTGAGCATCACATTACCACATTTAGTGACTGCAATTTTAGTGTTGTCGATAGGACCTGGAGGATCTAAATCAAAATGATAAAAGAATTAGAAGATAAATACGTTCAAAGAAATGCTTCAAAGAACTACATAATTTTATAGCTGAAATAACTGAGAACTACCAATAAAGTCTAGTTAGTTATTTACGTATTTTTTATGAAATGCCATCTATTTTAAGTATCTCCCCAGCTTTGGGGATTTCAATTGACCCAAAAACAACCAAGAAAGATGAGAGGTTGCTCAGCAACAAAATCTAATGCAGTTTCTTACCTGCTCACTGGGAACTGCAGATCAAATGTTTTTTAATGCTACAAAAAAACCTTTGTAATTTAAATAAATTATAAATTCTCAGTTCTAAGTTTGTTATTTAAACTAAAATTATAAAATGAAATATTAGAAAGCCTCTTTTCTTTGAACATGAAAGTAGAGTATTTGTCCATTCTCAAAAGCTCCCAACAGGCACGAGGAAGAAAAATTACTAAAATCTTACAGAAAAGTAGGCATATGGTTTTAATATATGCATGGTCTGCTTTTGCATTATGCATTGTTTAAAATACCGTTGAAGAGGTAGTCAGGGAGGACCAGTAGAACTAAGTGTAATGCCATTATGTTTAAAACTGCCATAATTAAGTCCATCACTGTGTTTGCTAACTTAAACCAAGAAATTCAAATACATACATACATTTTTTTAAGCAACTCAACATATGAAGAATAGCTTATTTCCAAATTATTATTACTGATAGTAGTACTAGTATTGAAATAGATTCTCATTATATAGTCCTGGCTAGCCTGAACCTGGCTATGTGGAAGAGGCTGGCCTTAACTCCTCAGTTGTCCCTGCCTCTGCCTCCTCAGTGCTAGGATTAAAGGCGTGTGCCATGCCTTACCCTCAAATTTTTATACATAATTATTTTAAAAGGTCCACGCTGTGTTCCACTGTACTAGATAAACTATAATTTACTCACCATCCTGTTATGTGATATTTTAAGGTTTTTCTTTCTCCGGGTGGGGAGAGGGTGGTTTTTCTGAGATGACGTCTATTACACAGCATTTACTATGTAGACCAAGCTGGCCTCTAAAGTTTTTCCGCATTAAGATTAAGTTTACTTATGTATCTGTGTATGGGATGTGTGTGCCAGTGCCAATGGAGATGAGAAACAGGTGTCAGACTCCCCTGGAGCTGGAGCGAGAGGTGGTGATGAGCTGACTGACACAGATTCTGTCCCGAGTCTTAACTGCCAAGTCACCTGTCTAGCCAGGTATTAAAATTAAAGGCAATTTTAATTCTTTTATTCTTGCCATAAATAGTAATGACAAGTTCATAGCAATAAGACTATAAATTAGAATATAAGTTCCCTGAAATCATAGATCTTTTTTGTTCACTGGTATAATCTCCAATAATCACAGAATTAACAAACAAAACATAGCTAAGAAACTTTCAGTTCAGCACTTACCTCCATCCTTACCCTTCACGAAACTCTCCCATTCTCTAAACCACTGCATACTGATACAATAAAAAGTTGCTGGAGAGTCCTCCTCTTGAAATGCTCTGTTGAGCTACAGAGAGAAAAAGTCAAACACCTAGTATCTGGAACTGGCTAACATGATTAAGCTCAGTTACAGTGACTGCTTCACAAATTATAGTATACAAGTGACTACTACAGAGCAAAGGGACTGAGAACTGGAAAACAAATGGCATGGGGTTGAGGATGCTGGCACATTCCGTTAACCCCTGCACTCGGGAGAAGGACCAAGCAGACCTGGTCTACACAGCAAGTTCCAGGCCAGCCAGGAATACATGAAGACTTGTCCTAAACCAGGCGGTGGTGGATCTCTGAGTTCCAGGCCAGCCTGATCTACAGAGTGAGTTCAATGACAGCCAGGGTTACACAGAAACCTTGTCTTGAAAAACAACAATAAAAAGACCTTGTCTTAAAAAATTTTTTTAACAGAAACTGCATTTTCTGTAGAATATTCCAATGATAAATGATCACAAAATTTGTAACTGAAAAGGGAAATTTGTTTTTTCACAGTTCTGGAGACAAGCATCCAACAACAAAGTGCTCAGAACACTGTTCCTGGAGATTTAGAGGCTCCACTTCTTCCTCCTTCAAGGGCTGCCTATGGCTGGCTGTTTTCACTTCAATCTGCCCTCCATCCTGCCATAGTATTCTCTCCCTTCTCTGTGTATCCTGAAAGGGACACTGACTGGATTTAGGTTTTATACAAACTTCTCAGGATGATTCCAACCCAAAATCCTATGCAAAAGCTATTTTCAAGGTGTCATTTGTCATTAAGTTCAATTCATAAAAGGCACAACATGGAAAATCCTTTTAGGATCCAACATTAAATTGAGTACAAATACTATTCAGTATTTCTATAATCTTTAACCAGAGGTTAAAACTTAACCTTACAGAAATCTAACAAGACTATTGAGGGTCCAGATCCTTCGAGAATGAACATTCCTTTAGCAATCAACAGCCACAACCAGCTGCAGCCTGCACAGACTACAGACAACTCTAATGAGAGAACATACAATTTGGGAAGTAAAATTTCTTGCCATGGCAAATGCACAGGAAACAGAAATGCGCCCACAGGAAGAAGAGAAGCAGAACTGTGGAGAACCCAGCAGGGCTGTCACGGCCGCGCAGGTAGGACCTGACGCCCACTGTGGCTCTCTCACCGCCGACTGCCGGCTGGCCATCTCTAGCTTACACAACTTACAATCTGAAAGTGTTACATCTTTACCCGAATAAAAATTTCCAGTTCAGTTTTTCTTCGTTTTTCAATCTTCTCGGCCTCAATCTGGCAGGTGTGACAGATGTACAGGTGGTTGACTGCAGGTCCTCCTCCATACCTAGACACCGAGAGTGCAGGTCACAACTGCAGAGAGGGCCCGTGCTCGAGGTCACTGCTGCTAGCTTTTTTTTTAAATATTTATTTATTATGTATACAATATTCTGTCTGTGTGTATGCCTGCAGTCCAGAAGAGGGCACTAGACCCCATTACAGATGGTTGTGAGCCACCATGTGGTTGCTGGGAATTGAACTCAAGACCTTTGGAAGAGCAGGCAGTACTCTGAACCTCTGAGCCATCTTTCCAGCCCCTGCTGCTAGCTTCTTAATTAGTGTTTAAATTGCCAGTTACAAGTAAATCCTGGGGCTGGCAAGATGGCGCAGTAGGTCTTAAAATATAAAATAAGTTCTGAGTTTGTTCCTCAGGACCCCATGAAGGACTCAAAGCACTGTCTCCCTCCAGCCACCCTCAGGTCTCCACCCATGCTCCATAGCATGCATGCATGCATGCATACATACATACATACATACATACATACATAGCATAGCATAGCATAGCATAGTATAGCATAGCATAGCACACATACACAGAATTACTTTTTAAAAAAATAAAAAATTAAAGAATAAATCCTATAGTAAAATTCTCAAAGTAATACAAAAAAATCACATTAAAAACTCCACTTTGTGTCCCATGTGACACCTATCCTGTTTTATCTACATTTCACCTTGTCCTTACAGCTGCCTCTGCTACAGTATTAGAAATGACCAGAGTGAAAAGGGTTCAAAGATTAGCACAAAATATTCTTAGTTATGCAAGCAAATTTTAATCAAATGAAGTCTTCCCATGCTCGAGTTAGAAGCACTTAATGAGTGCATTTTTAATATTTAATTTAAAATGCTTAGTATGGAAATAACATTTAAAAACTATAATTTGGGAAGATATCCAATTTTAGTAGTGTAGTGTACAACTATGAGAAATTTTGGTATTGGGGAAATGTAACATCTTTAATGTACAAAAAGTTATATACTTACAACATATATGCTACGGATAATCATAAAAATTACCATTATTTAGACTAGGGCCCCACAAACAAAGTCTTCCTACTAATACTTTAGCGTGAATAAATTAAGAAAAGGAATGTTCTTCCTAGGCATCAAATAACACTGGGCAACTGTGACAGAACCCAACCCTTTTGTAACTGCTCTCATTTCCTTTACGACACCATAGGGTTGAATTTCAAGAACAAACCTGCTATAGAGGTTATCCCAAATGTTCTGAGGCAGCATCAAAACTAAGTCTTCAATGTAACTAGCTTTTCGTGGAGGAATACCTAAAAAACATATTAAACAAGTGTACTTAATTTTTTTCTCTTTATTTCTCTATATGACTTCCAATGACTGACTTCTGCAGTGCTAAGACTAAATCAGAAGTTTACTCAAGTAAAGCAAACACTCCCACACAGAAAGCCGTTGGTTGGTTGGTTGGTTTTGGTTTTTTGAGACAAGGTTTCTCTGTGTAACTAGCCCTGGCTGTCCTGGAACTCGCTCTGTAGACCAGACTGGCCTCGAACTCACAGAGATCTGCCTCTGCCTCCAGAATGCTGGGATTAAAAGCGTGTGTCATCACCACCCAGCACATAAGGTCATTTTCATTTAATTATTTATCCATTTACTTATTTATTTAACATACTGACTACAGTTTCTCCTCCCTCTTCTCTCCCCCCACCTCCCTTCTGCCTACCCCCTCATCCACTCCTCCTCCGGCTCCATTCAGAAGGGGCAAGAAGGGGTAAAGCCTCCACGGCCTATCAATGAGGTCATGTTTAATGGTGACTGGACTGGCCAATCCTTTTTTTTTTTTTTTTTTTTTGAGACAGGGATTTACTCTGTAGCCTAGCCTAGCCTCCAACTCACAGAAATTCTTCTGTCTCAGACTCTCAAATAGTGGGATTACAGGAGTATATAACCATACCTGGCTTTTAATCACTGTTCTTAAATCTCTCCTTATAAAAACATAAGTAAAAAGCATTTTTGGTAACTATGCTTCCTAAAGAAGAGCATAGCATATGCCTTGAAATACCCATTCAGAATTATTTATTTATTTGGCAGCACTAGGGTTTGAGGCTAGGACCCTGTGCAAACCAAGCATGTGTTCAATCACTAACTGGAATCATTAAACTCAGAAATAATGCAACTTTAGGTCTCTATATACAATACAGGATATTATTCCCACCTCTATATTTTCATTGCAAAAATAATTAACAACAGCAAGTCTGCGACCATAAAGGTCAGTGCAAGTGTCCACAGAAAGGTCTTTATTACTGCAGGACCAGACAGTAACAGCGCATCCATCACAAAGGCGTACGTTACATATAACAAATCCCAAACATGCTTCACTTTAGAAAGCCACCTATTCACCAAAGACAGACAGGTACGAACCACACTGCCCAGGAACAGCCCTCCCAGGAGACGTGCATGAAGAGGGCTCACTCGACCGTAATTAGTCACCCAAGTATCTGACTCTAGCTCAAAATTAAAGCTTTCACAACATGGGACAGTCTCTGGCATTCTTAGCTCTAGTGCTAGGTTTCTCACAGGGCCTATTTCTGAACCATAAGGAATCAAATACACTCAGGTCCAGATGGGGATGTGAGGAGGGGAAATTCATGGCTCTTTATTAATTTGCAAAGGATTTAACAGCGACCCTCTATCACTGTTTACATAACCACACTCCTTACCTCCATGAATACAGAGAAAGTCATTATTTGAGATAGGGCCAGGTTCAGCAAAGGTCTTAAATTTATTTAACCACTGTCGAGATATATAAAACTGAAGGAGGCTAGGCTCCATTATGTTCAGCAGATTTGATATCCTCCGCCTCTCCTTTTGGGCCTCTTCACTGCTCTTCCTGTGGAGGACAAAGATTCACTGAAGTTAATACACATTTTACCACATTAAACAGGCAGAGCGGCTCTTCACTATCAGACTTAAGATACACACTGTTACTACAGAGCTGATCAGTCCCTAAGGACTTTCAAGAGAAATAGTCTTTGTCCCACAGCTCAATACATTATACATTACCCTGGGGGTCAGCACTGAATCTTAACTATGGGTATCTATGGAACCCCTGGTACAAGGTAGACATTTCAGTGTTAGATCAAGTGGGGGGGGGGGGGGACACGACTGAGCTGCATTCTTGCTTCCTGTTCCAGTATCTACCATTTCCTTTTATAAGATACAGAAATATATCAAAGATTTTTACAGTAATACCTTTTTTGCTACAGGATATTTAAAGAAGAAATTTTGTATTTAATTCTGACTTTATATACTTTAAACGAACAAACATCCTGGGCCAGTGAGATGCTCAGGGGTAAGGGTGCCTGCCAGCAAACCAGAGGAGTTCAATGCCCAGAACCCATAAACAAACTTCAGTGCACACTTGCAGGAACATACATGCACATACACATAAATAAATAAATGCTAAAGAAAGAGATGAGGGGTTGGAGAGACAGCTCAGCAGCTTGCTGTTCTTGCACAGGACCTGGGTTAGATATGCAGAACCCACATGGGGGCTCACGACCACCTCTAACTCTAGTTCCAGGGGATCTGATGCCCTCTTCTGACCTCCTGGCAGCAGACATACATGTGGTGCACAGACTTACATACATACAAAATACCTATATACATAAAATAAATTTAAGTCAACCTCTAAAAAAATAAATGTTTAAAAACAAAAATATTTCTAAAACAATATATCCCTTTGCCTGTCTAATTTCCTGAACGGGGGGTCACCTATGAGCAGCTTCTTTCTCTTACTCATAAGAGCACATTTCTCATTGTCACTCATAAGCCCTGCAAAGTCTAAGAAGTGCAGATCCTATAGAGATGTCCTTTCTTCACCAAGTCATGACAGTCCGTCACCTGTAGAAAAGGACGTAGGCCTCAGCATTCTGCACGGTGGACTCGGAAACCTCAGTGACGCTCTGGTCATCGAACTCATACCACAGGTTATTTAAATTGTTGCGGCAGTAAGCGATGTAATGCCCACCTGAATTGCAAGGAAAAGTGTCTGTTAGGGTCTCCGTGTCACACCTACAGAGCCTCTGTAGCCTTACTGGGTTAGACTGCGTTCAGCACTGACAGAAGACAGGAAGCACCAGACTTTTAACCTTTTATTTTATAATGCCTCACTATTATAGCCCAAGCTGGTCTTGAACTAACAATCTTCCCACCTCAGCTTCCCAAGTGCTGAGAACACAAGTGTGTTCCACCACACTCGCCCTAGGCCATGTAGCCCTGAAAACCTTGTACAAAGCCTACCCTGTTAAAGCTGTTACCTTATAATTGTTATTCCGAATAGTCTAGGGAAAATATTTAGTCTTAAATCTAACGTCTCAAATGCCTCCTCTGACACATAATAATTGTGCATATTTGTGGAGTAGAAGATATAATTAGGGCAATTAACATTACAATCACCTTAAATGTGGAGTTCTTTGTCTGAAAGTCTCAGCTACTCAGGCTGGTCTTGAACTTAGTTGGCATTCAATGTTTGCCAATAAGATCGAGCTAGATACTGAACCTGTATTCCTGGTACCTGTTTTAGGTAGCTGACTTTTTTTTTTTTTTTTTTTTTGGTGTTGAATTCCTAATCCTGCTTTAGCCCTGGAGTATGACAATGATAGGCATGTGCCACTACAACTATTTTCCTAAATGGTCATTATTCACTAGGGTTAAGTCTGTTGTTTTCTGATAATAAGGACTAAAATCTGTTTTTAAATTTTTCTTCCTTTGGTCAAGTGGGGCTTATTTAAGCAATCAACTTAGATACATGTTTTTAAATCAAAAACAAATGTTAAGCCTTTGTGCTCACTGCTCGCAGTCCCGTGATGACAGATGACTGACAGGAGCTCGTAGGTCACAATCTGCGCCGGGCTGTCCTTTGCAAGGAACGGTTGCAGGTCCAGGCCTTCCAGAGGGAAGGACACGTGGGTGCTGATTTTAGTAGAAAACATCAGCTCATGCCGAAACCTCTTCAGATGAATACACAAGATCTAAAAGTATAACCAGCATCCAAATGGTTAGGAATGTTTACAAGTGCTAAGAAGGACAATTAAGTTCTGTGTTATAAGAAAGAAAATGAGGCAGTCAATCAAATACAATTAGAGTCATTTAAATGTTTATTTTTAAATACTGTATTTTGGTTTTTGGATTTTTTTTCTTCCATTTTTAAAGGTCTCTCTGTGTAGTCCTGACTGGCCTGGAAGTTAATCGTTATGTAGACCCAGGCTGGCCTCAAACTCAAGAGACTTGCAGAGGCACCGCGCCTGTCTCATCTCATCTGATATTCTCAATAAGAGTCTCTGAAGTATTTACATAATCAAAGTAGGAATGTGAAACATCATCCTGAATTCTAACATGATTCCAGATATAATTTCAGTGTGACAGAGTGGGCAGGGCTCCTCTTCCCAAGATCAGTGCTACTGGTTCCTGACTGTGCACTTCAGACCTGTAAGACCCCACAATGTCTGGTGACTTGTTCAACAGCACACTGTTAAAAAATGCTCAAATATTTAACCCAGCCTCCTAAAATGAATCCTAACGGTACACATGATGCTTCAGCCATGCCGAGTTTACTACAGTGTGTGACGTTAATGCATGACCACATTTTATGAATGAGTAAAAAAGAAGTCATACCTCAGGAAACTTCTGTACTTTACAAAACTTTACTCCATTCCTCAACCTAAAGGCAAAAAAGAAAAACTAATAAATCTACAAAACATTTATTACACACAAAAATCTTGCAGAAGATGTCAAGAAAAAAGTTATCAGAGTAGCATATCCCGAGTTAGTTATGTACATATTTATACACTAAATACCCTAACAATAAAATGCCCCTTATCATAAAAAATAACTTTTTTAAAATATTTATTTATTTTGTATACAATATTCTTTCTGCATGTATGCCTGCAGGCCAGAAGAGGGCACCAGACCTCATTACAGATGGTTGTGAGCCACCATGTGGTTGCCAGGAATTGAACTCAGGACCCTTGGAAGAGCAGGCAATGCTCTTAACCACTAAGCCATCTTTCCAGCCCATAAAAAATAACTTATACCAAGATAGTAATAAAGAGCTAAAAAAAAAAATCACTGCACAATGCTTTGACTTGCCTAGCACCCACAGACTTAGGTTCCATCAGAGACTAGCTATGTGTCATGCTTGCCTAGCACACACAGACCTCAGGGTCCATCCACAGCACTACACCGGTCATGCGTGGGAGCGCATGCCTATAGTTTCAGTACTTGGGAGGTAGAGCAGGAAAATCAGACACTCCAGGTCAGCCTCGGCTCCATTAAGAAGCTTGAAGGCAGCCTGGGATACAGGAGCTCCTGAGTTTAAAAGCACAGCACTGAAATGGGACACTGTCTACGCTTTTATAACATGCAGATACTACACAGAGCAAACTCCAGCTCTTCAAGATCAGTAGTTCAGGGTCATATAGTTATTCTTTTTATCTTGCTTTAGAGACAAGGTCTCAAATTTATAATCCTCCTATCTCGGTGCTGAAATATCAGCATTTACCACACACCTGGCTTGAAAACCTTTATTCTCCTTTTTCATTTCAGGTGTTTTCAGACAGGTTCTCTCTACATAGCCCTGGCATTCCTGTAACTCACTCTGTAGACCAAGCTGGCCTCAAACTGACAGAGATCCACCTGCCTCTGCTTCCTAAGAGCTGGGATTAAAAGCTTGCATTACCACACCAGGCCCATTACAAAATACATAAATATCACACTTGGACTAGAAACCTTTACTCTTAAATGTTGGAGAAAAATTTGAGCCAAAGATTATAATAATTAACCAGTATCAATGACCACTTGTCCGATCTGCACTGGGGATCTGGGGCGAACACTGGTTCTTTCCCCTCATTGCTGTTTCCTCTAGCTGGCATGGCTGGCTTCACGGGGAGATATTTTCCTAGACTCAGCTTCTTTTCAGCTGTAAAACTAGGCACGGCCCTTTCTGTGTGGTGAGAAACGGATCGATTCGTTGATGGTTGCATGACTGGCTAACATTGCTGCACTCCACTCTAGCATAAGGGGCCAACAGCTGCAGGCTAACATCAGCTGTGGCTGCAGCAGCTTCTCCGTCTGTGAAGACTCCAGTTGGAGGGGCTGGAGAGGTGCTCAGCAGTTAAGAGCATATGTGCTGCCCTTGCAGGAGACGGGGGTTCAGTTCCCAGCACCCACATTCCAATTTCAGGGATCTGGTGCCCCCCTGTGATCTCCATGGGCATTGGGCACATACCTGCTGTACATACGCACATGCAGGCATAGTACTCATACACATAAAATAAAAATTAAAAATAAAGATTTCAGCTTTTCTTAGGAGTTTTTCTATTACAGAGATTCAGAAAATTTTTCCAATTCTCTCTACACCAAAAATACTTGTCTTTATCAAACTTCTACTCAAATTTTCTGACATCATCAAGAGGTGTTTACTTTGCTTGCTGTAGTTGTTGCCTTCTGGCTGGCCTAGAACACACTACCTAGACCAAGCTGGCAGGTCCCTATGTTGGAATCAAAAGGTGTGTGCCACCACACCTAGTCCAAAAAGAGGTTTTTAAAAGTGAAAATTATTACGAGACAGAAAAGGAAGCTGGTAGCAGATATGAACAAAATGAGACTTGGCCATCCTGTTGTTCTCCAGTTACCATGGTAATTCAAAAGAGTCACTTTGTTTTAAAATATAGTTAATGCAAACTCCCAAACTTAACTTCATTCATCAAAATCCATACATTTAATAGCATCTTGCATCAGACTACTAAACATTTACCTTAAACATATTTTATAAAATAACCAGTCTCTTATTTTTGGAGGAAGGCTTTCTGGCCTAGAATTTTCCAGACATAGCATCAAGTATAACTCCAATGTGCCCAGTTCAGATAGCCAAGAAAAATACAAAATACAAAGCTAAAAGCAATGTTACTTACTTTTTGCATTTTTCACAACTGTACATATTGTCACCTGCAAACAGAGCAGACCTAGTCACTATCTAACTGCCAGCAAACTCCTCTCAGTTCCCAGATGTGCCCAACGTGGACTTCACAGAACAGCGACAGTGAACTCACCATGCTTACTTCCCTACCTACCATCACCACCCTCCCTCTCCTCTCAGTCTGACACACTAACTCAGAAAACAGTCTCTTCTTTTGTTCAATAAACAGAATTTATTGGTAGTCTGTGATATGCCCAGACTGACATCTGATGTATATGTGATATGTCCAAGCATGATGCTGAACACACAAGAAAAACGGAGGACCTTCAGAGAAGCTGAAAATGTAAAGACAACTCAAAACACATCTGACATCCATTGTCTTCATAAGTTCTCCCATCTCTGAATCACACATCTTCAAAGTCTGTCATTTGTATTAGAGAAATGTATATAAATTCTCATCGCATCTCCACTGCCGTGAAAGGTCCCCCATGCACATACAAGCAAGTCCTGCTGAAGCTGCCCAAAACCTCAGCATTAGCTTCCCTACAAAACCAGCCACAAACGTGATTACAGTTCTTACCTTTAAGTTCATCTCTGGCGAAGAATGCAGCAAGACAATCTTGCAAGGTTACTACTGGACCCCAAAACCAGCTAGGGACACATGAGACAACAAACCTGAAACATCATTGAAGAAGAAAAAGGAAGTGTTCTGCTAGTACAGCAGAAGCAGCAGCCAACAATCAGTCAAGGCAAAGAAAGAAATACACACCTCTTCACATACTCCATGAAGAAAGCTATCCAGCCCTGTGGCGCATACGCTTCACCACACGAGCCTGCTTTGACTATGGTGGGGTGGCTGGAGGAGTGCAGCTTGGCCAGGTCTTCCTTGCCAGGAATCGGCAAGGACAGATCCTGAAAGGTCTCGAGGGTTACAGACACCTGCAAGTGTTTGGTTTTAATGGATGGAAAGACCCAGCACAATTATTTATAAGATTAGATTTCTTCCAAAGATGAAAACAAGTTATTATAATAAACAAATATAAACAACAAGCATATTGCTTTTAGAATACTACAGACAGAAAAGAGCCTGGCTTGCTTTGTACCAGGTGCTGTTTCAAATGCAATCTTCATATAAGCTACTGGTATTTCTGTCTATGGATCAGAGATGTTACAGTGTTAAAAAGCACAGCAGATCCAGCCGTCTGGCTGCTGAAGACTGGCACACAGATTCTTTGAGTGTGGGGAAGGGGGACATGCAGAACTGGGTCTTATTATATGCTTTATGACCCATGAGGTTCTCAAACTCTGTCAAGTCATTCTCTCACCTCAGCCTCCCAAGTACAGAAACTGCAGGCTGAAAATAGTCTTAAATGTTGTTTAAACATTTAAGGATGAAGAGGAAACCAGCCCTGCTATGGACCAGCATTAACAGCAGGAATGAACCATGGAAGATACACGGCTTCAGGCAACCATGGAGTGTAAACGCACACACTTAGATGACTACGATGCCTGTGGAGATAGGCTCTCACTACATGACAGTCACATGTGTCTATTCTTAGCTGTAGCACTACCCACATACCACAAGTAAAAAACACTTCTGGGTAATATACTGTCTATGTGAACATGGCCTACTGAACACTTCCATTTGACTTAACATTCCGACACAATAAAGGAGAGCATATTTCTCTTGCTTCTGAGACAGTATTTCATTCATCAACCATACCCACCCTGCACTGAAGTGAGAACTAAGAATTTCCAAAGAGTAGGTGTTAGTCAAACCCTCACAATAATTTTAATTTATGTTTGAGACACAGACGTCTGTCAGTTTTTTTCTTGTGTTTGTGAATCTGGCATTATCTTTATTATGGAAGCACCTATGTCTTTACAAGCTGCCTACAAAACCAAATGTAAGACACACACTTAATCGCCTTTGCTTGTGAACACAACCATTTCCAGGCACACCTAATTTCATCAGCCTTCAGAGAATAAGCACTGTTAACTACCTTGTTGCCAGGCAACTTCTCACCTTTCTATGCAACCAAAAGAGACAGAGAGCCAAGGTCCTTTCCAAAGGACTTGTGTCATCCCTCCCATCTCCACCTGACTGACACACACCAGACATGTATGCATGGTCTGCAATGGCATTTAACTCTTTGACTTCTTCAGGTTCTTAAGTCATTTGACAGGAAAATGCTGTGTGCTATGGTTCCCTCATACTCACCCTGTCGCACGTCAGACACTGTACTGAACTAATGATTGTTCCATCAAATATGTCAGAAATGACACTTCTGTATTTCTTATGCTGCTTTTTTCTCTTTGGAGATGCAGACTGAGCTAGAATTAAAAGAACATTAAAAAGAACCATTAGTTCCTTGAATATTTTTCTCTAAAATATTTTTGCATTGTCTTGGATTTTGTTTTTTGATACAGGATCTCACATAGTATAGATTGGCCTCAAATTTCCTATGACTCTGCGACTGACCCTGAATCCCGGATCCCTGGCTTCCAATGCCTGACACTGGGTTAGAGAGTGCTGCCACGCCTGCTGCCACACATGCTGCCACGCCTGCTGCCACACATGCTGCCACGCCGGACGTCCTCTAGAATCTTTTCCTTTTTAAGGGTTATTTATTTATGCATGTGTATGCTATGTCAGTGTGTACGTGCATGTGGATGCCCATGGAAGCCAAAAGAGGGCACTGGATTTTCTGAGCTGGAGTCAGAAGCAGTTGACAGCTACCTGATGTAACTGTTGGGTCCTGAACCCTGTAAACAATCTTAGCCACTGGGCCCTCCGGCATCTTTAGAATCTTTTAACGGTAGAAGTTACTCAGCCTTCAAGACACTCAGCAGGTAGAAATGCTTCCTGTACAGCCTCAGACCTGAGTTTGATCCCCAAGACCCACATGATCTAAGGAGAAAATGAACAAGATGTCCTCTGACCTCTAAAGTATGCTGTGGTATGTGCACCCACACACCCCCCCCACACACACACACACGTACACAAACACACATAACGAAAAATTTTAATTACTACACTAAAGAAAAATTGAAAATGCCATCCAAGAGCATTGCTTTAGGGCTGGAGAGATGGCTCACTGTGCTCCTCCAGAGGACCAGCACCTACATAAGGCATGTACTTGCAACTTTAGCCCCAAGGGAATCTACATCCGCTTCCAACTTCTATAAGTATCCAAACACATATAGCATGTATACACGGAAAAACACATATACATGAATAATAGTAAAAATAAATTTTTTTAAAAATCACTACTTAGAGAAGCCAATCAAAAAATCAAATAAGGCTTAAGCTGGCTTTCAAGTATTTATGATTCTTGGCCACATAAAATGTACATAGGGGAATATGAAAACAATCTGAAATTAGTTAATATTAAACAGCCTAATAGTTTACTCATTTGTTCCATATGCAAAATAAGGAATTAGCCCCCATCACTGGGATATCTACGCTCAAGTCAGGGGAAGGAGACGAAGATGGGAGAGCCAGGGTAAAAATGTAAGGATGAAACAGGAGGGCCGCACCTGCACATCATCCCTTCAGAACAGTCCCAACTGTACTTGCTTGTTTTGTATGGGGGCTCATATGAAAAAAGGATTCTGTTAGTGAGGTATGTTATACACATTCTTCAGGATACAGACTCTTTTTCAGCCTACAAATATCTCTTTCTAATCTTACCCTCCCCCTTTTAAAAAATCTTAACAAGGTCCTTTGCCAAGACTTTTTAGTTCTTTCATAGATGGTGATTTTTGTTTTGTATGTGGGGGCAGAGTAGATACAGGTAAAATATGGAGATCAGAAGACAACTCGGGGAAGTCAGTTCTTCCCTTTATTGTGAGTTCTGCGGATCAAACTGCGGTTGCCATGCTTATACAGCGAGACTGTTACCCACTGACCCACCTCGCTGGCCTTGTGTTTTCATGTCTGTATATAGCAAGACTGTTACCCACTGGCCCACCTCGCTGGCCTGTGTTTTCGTGTCTGTATACAGCAAGAGTGTTATCAACTGGCCCACCTCACTGGCCTGTGTTTTCATGTCTGTAAAAATGTCTCTAAGACCTTCAACTGTGTTTTTCTGTTCACTTGTTTGTTTGTTCAGGTTTTTGTTACGCAGCCCTGAGTGCTCTAGAACCCCCTATTTAGACCATGCTGCCCTCGGATTCAAGTCCACGCAGATGAACCTTCCTCCGAGTGCTGGGACTAAAGGCATGCACTACCACATGGGGCCCTCTTTAAGTTCTATTGTTTAACACTGAATAATGCCAGCATTCTGATATAAAGCAGGTGACAGTGCAGAATGGTGCAGACACTCGGGAAAACGGGCAGCTTGTATAAAACCCAGGAAACACAATCCTCAGAATTTATCTCTGACAAACAAAAACTTTAGGATCATATAAAAACTATACACAAATATCTACAGTGATATTATTCATAATTGCCAAAAACTGTAAACAATTCAAAAATCCCTTGATGAGGAATAAACAGAGGTTTAGGGTTACAAATGAAATGTGGCTTGGTAGGGAAAAAAGTATTCAGATATAAAATAATGCAGTCAATTCTTAAATACATTATGCTCCATAATTTTTTTTTTTAAAAAAAGGCTATTTCCTAAGCCTACCTACTGTGTAGTATCATTTACAGGGCATTCTGGGAAAGGGGAACAACAGGAGTGGCGGGCATCAGGGGTCCATCAGGAACAGAGTGTCAGTGTGACAGGCCTTGGGGGAGGGCAATAATCTGATTATGAAATTGTAGGACAGAATGGGTTAAAAGGCACAGAAAAGGTGACTTAAGAGGGCTGGGAAGGCTCAGCAGTTACGCACACTTGATGCTCTTACAGAGGACCCAGGCTTGGTTCCCAGCACTTAGATAATGGTTCGCAACCGTCCATTTCAGCTACAGGTGAGCAGATGCCCTCTTCTCACCTCCGTGCCCAGGGACACATGTGGTGCACATACACACATGCAGGAAGAGACTTATGCACATACAATATTAAAATGCACTACTAAACTTTAAGAGAAAGATTTAATGCAGAGAACCACAGATAAAATATTCTAATGGTGGTTGTGTAATTCTATCAACTTTAAGAGATCACATATTTCATATTACTCTACCAACAACAGAATCAGCAGTTTAAACTGAGGAACTGAAGTGAGGGAATTCTTTTACCTTTTTTGTGTGGAGGTGTCAGTCCCGGCCATAGGTTGCCTGACTTAGGAGGGCTTGCTGATAAACGTGTATTAACGCTTTCATTGGATGGAAGACTCTGTGATGTGGACAGGTCATTCAAATGGACGTCAGTGATATATTCTGTAATATTTAAATTTTTATTATTACCTTCAATTAAAATTATAAATAAAACTATTAAGCAGTTTTATTCCATGTGGCCAATAATGCTAACTAATGGAAAGACTCCTTAATTTGATATACTGAAGACAGTCTATGTTAACAAATGCCAAGTGAAATAGTACTGAAGTGTTTGCTAAGCAAAGTAACAGTGATTTTCCCACCTAGGTATTCAATTAATGTCTAACACATTACTGCTATAGTCAGTCAGCAGCAAGTAGTGGTGATACAAAACTAAAGACAGTCACACTTCCCAAATTTAGTAAAATTTCTAAAAATCTACCCATGAGTTACAAAAGGAATCATTTGTTTCTCAACACAAGGTCTCATGTAGCTTGGGGTGGCTACTCTACGTAGCCAGGAATGAGGTTATATTCCACCCCTGACCCTTCACCTTCACCTCACAAAAGCTGGGGCTAAAGGCATGTACTGCCATGTCTGCTTCCTAAGTCTTTATAAGACATTTCTTCAAATTTTGTGTGTCTGTGTCTCTGTGTGAATATGTACATTTGAGTGTAGATGCCACTGGACACCAGGAGAGCTGGAGATACAGACAATTGTGAGCCACCCAATGAGGGGGCTGGGAACCAAGGTTGGGTCCTCCACAAAAGCCGTACAAGCTCTAAGTGCAGACCCATCTCGGTAGCTCCACCCACATTGTTTTTTTTTAAATATTTATTCATTTATTATGCATACAGTATCTGCCTACATGTGTGCCTGTAGGCCAGAGAGGGCACCAGATCTCATTACAGATGGTTGTGAGCCACCATATGGTTGCTGGGAATTGAACTCAAGACCTTTGGAAGAGCAGGCAATGCTCTTAACCACTGAGCATCTCTCCAGCCCCCACACCCACGTTGTTTTTATTTAAATTTTTTTTTCACTGTGCTGGGAAAGGAACCCAAGACCTCAAAAAATGCTAAGCAAATTTTCCACCACTGACTCTTGCTCCCTCAGTCCACATATTGTTTAAGTGAGAGAAAAGACGATTGTCCCAAATAAACTCAGTAATGAAAACCAAACAAGAAACTTAGGCATTGGGAGCCGGAGAGATGGCTCAGTGAATACAAGCGCTTACTGCTCTTACAGAGGACAGAAGTTCAGTTCCCAGCACCTACATGGCAGCTCACAACTGCCTGTAACTCCAGTTCTAGTCTCTGTGGGATCCTGCAAACATGTGGTACACTTAGGGTTTCAACAACTCTTGTGTGCAAACACATATACACATAAACAATCTTTTTTAAAAGAAATTAAGGTATAAGTTAATTATATCTATTTTTACGGTAATAAAAATGAGACCTAGCTCTCAGGACACTATCTCTTTGGAACTTAACTATATGAGGCACCAAGCAAGGAGATCTTGTGGCTGCTACTCTGACAGTCTGTTGCTAGAGTCTTAGTGCCTAGCATATCTATCTCCCAACACAAGGAACCATGTTGAATGACTGTGCAAACAGAGAGGCAGAGAGAAAGCTGTCGATGAAGATATCAACCACGGGCTGGAGAGAGGCTCCAGCAGCACTTGCTGCTCTTGCAGAGAATCCAGGTTCAGTTCCCAGAATCCAAACTGCGGTAACTTACAACCATCCACAACTCCAGTCCCAGGGAATCTGACAACCTCTTCTGGCTTCACTGCACACCAGGCATACATGTAGCCATAACACTCACTCACAAAAAAATATAAATTTAATAATAATAAAAAAACCACCTCAACCATGACTAAAGAAGATAGCAAAATGCTACTGGTGAAAGCCTTGTTCTGGACTTCCTAAAGAGAAGCAGAAAGGCTTCAGAGGGTAGTGAGCGTTTCTGTAGGGATAGACAGTGAGTATTTCAGGTCCTGTGCACTACATGATAGTTTTCCACCCAGGATCTAAAACATAAAATGCTCAGACCTACTTTAGTTCATTATCTAGTTACTATGTGTTAAGAACAAACCCACACGCCAGCAATAAAGGAGCAGTCAGTCCCTGAATTATGCTTCCCTTTGGCTTTTGACAGGAAGTCTGGTTATCAGAACTGACATTCAGGCATTTACTGACTGAAGAACTTCTAGGCACAGCGAGTCTGTAAAGAGTCTAAGCACTCCTGGGTTTCCCAGCTAGAAGGCACAAGGCAGTATTCCTACGCTAAGGAAACACTGGTCAAGAAAGACCTTTAGTGCACTCTGAGACTTGGAACTGCTTACTAGTCCTCTCCAGCTGCTACAGAGATGAACTTTATGTTACTTTTTCACCACTGATTCACATCATCTGATTTCCTAATCATCTAATTTTACAGAATTTAGAGTAGCCAAAGTCACATAAAGGTATAAAGAGATAAATATGGTATGTAAAGCAACTTAACTGCTTTCTTTCATTTGGGTATTTGCCCTTTCTCAAAGGAACACTGTCAAATATTATGATATAATATATCCTAGCAAAGTTCATGTACATATTGGCTATGTCTACAGTGAGAACCATTGGAATGTAATAACATGCATGATTAGAAAATTTGGGTTGGGCACTGGAGAAATGGCTCAGCAGTTAAGAGCATGGCTGCCCTTTCAGAGTCCTGAGTTCAATTCCCAGCAACCACATGGTGGTTCACAACCATCTATAGTGGGATCTGATGCCCTTTCCTGGCAAGAAAGGAAAAGAAAATTTGAGTTTTTCTTTTTGCCAGGATGGCAACAGAAATAAAAGAGATAATTCCAAGGGGACTAATTTTCTAGATTACTATGTAACCATATAAAGGAATTCTGATTTGCCCTTGCTTTAAAAGAAATGAATTCCTAAGTAAATGATCCACAAAATTATCTTACTTTTAGTTTCATAATTTTATGATTTCAACACTTAAAATGGACAGCATTAAATTTCAAGTCTATTAGCTAAAGAACCCCCAATTAAGGCATGATAGCACTCCCCTTTAGTCTCAGAATTCAAGAGGCAGAGGTGGGTGGATATGTTTAAGGATAACCTGGACTACATAGTAAGTTCCAGGCCAGTCAGGGGTACACACTGAGATCCTGCCTCAAAAATAAACGAACGAGTTGTTCCAAAAGTGACAGTTAGGTAAGTTAGGTAAGCACTCTCCCCCTGCTCAGGAAATACTATCATCTCACAATCTGATTATTAACTTGTCACCTGAAGCTCTGCCATGTATCTGCACTTTGACAGTCTCTTGGCTGTTCAGGTCAACTGTGTCACATACGGTGTCTCTATCTTTATCCAGTTCTACTTCAGACTCTGCTTTATTGATCTTGTTGCACATCTTCTCTTTCTGCCAGTCCTTGGCCATCTCTAGGTCGTCGGCATCCTGGATGAGCATCGTTGTCTCATTGCTGTCCTCAGCAAAGCCTTTGGAGCCATTCTCATTCTCCGCTTTCTCACTGCTGCTGCAAGATTCGCAGGACTGAAAGTCTACATCCGACTGGCTCTTCTCCTCCTCCACTGCTTCCTCAGAAGTCAGTGTTTGAGGGTCTTCCTCTATTTCCATGACCTGCTCCTTCAACTCCTCATGAAGCAGATCCATCAAACAGCGAAGGAATTCCTGGGCATCCTGCAGATCAACAACAACCACATTACGAGGATAGAGCAAACGCTTGTGGAGCCTAGGGCAGGAACAACACGGGTAGAGTAGCGGACTGAGTACATCTGTAGTCCACGCCCAGCAGAGCTGCAACACGCTGCATTCCAAAAGCAATGCAAATAAAGCAATGCTTTGGGAAGAAAACTGGATGAAACAGAAAATAAGAATTTTCCTCAGCTGACAACTGGAATTCAGAAATGCATCTTAAAATAAATATTATGGGGAAGTAGAAAGAGATAAGATCTCCTGAGTAAATTGGACCTTGGGACCTTGGGAGAGGGCTGAAGGGAAGGAGAGAGGCAGGGAGGGGAGCAGAGAAAAATGTAGAACTCAATTTTAAAAAAAATCAATAAAAAATTAATAAATAAAAATAATAAATATTATGTAAGTTGGTTTAAGTTAGAGCTTTTCCCATCCATGGATTGTGTCTTAAAGAAAAACTCTTTATTGGGCAGTAGTGATACACACCTTTAATCCCAGCACTTGGGAGGAAGAGGCAGGTGGATCTCTGTGAGTTCAAGACTAGCCTGATCAATAGAGTGAGTTCCAGGGCAGCCAGGGCTACACAAACAAAACCTGTCTCAAAAAACTGGAAAAAAAAAAAAGAAAAAAATTCTTGATCGATCCTAAGAACTTGTTGATAATATAAATTCCTGAGCTGCAAGGATACTCAATCAAGCACGACCATTTGCTATGCAAGTCAGACAGCCTGATTTACTCCCTAGAGCCTGCTGTGTAAAGACAACCCACTTTACAAAGCACCGAGCAAGTGCATACCCCTCCATACACACACCAGTAACGCTAAATAAAACAACTTCCTGGCCCGCTACCTGCAGCACTAGATTATAATCTCCAGAGATTCAGAAATTTATATGGGAAAAGTTAGTACAAAAAAAGTATATTTTGAGAAAAGAGGAATGTGTGAGGCCCAGCTATAAATTCTCATGGTACTAAATAAACTATGGTAACTGAAACTGCCCTATGACAGTAAGAAAGCACACAGAAGTCAGAAGGTGCAGCGCTGTGGTAGAACGCCTGCCTGGCTGGCATCCAACAGGCCCTGCAGCCATTCACTGGATCCACAGAAATGCAAAAATACACAGTCAGGTGTGGTGTGGCACCTCTGTAGTCCCAGCACACGAGAGGTAGAGAAGAGGAGGAAGCCAAGGCCATCTTCAGCTAAACAGAAAGGCCAAGACCAGCCAGGGCTATAGCAGACCCTTTCTCAAAAGCCCCAACTCTACAGACACGAAAGAGCAATGCTCAGAAAGGCAAATGGGGAAATAACAAAGGAAGGTAACATTTTCTACTTATTAAAGAGTATTAAAGTGGAGGCTGGAGAGCCAGCTCAGCAGTTAAGAGCACTTGTTCTTGCAGAGGACCCAGGTTCAGTTCCCAGCACCCACATGATGAGGCTCACAGGCACCTGTAACTTCAATCCCAGGAGATCTGGTGCCATCTTCTGGCCTCTGTCGGTACCATGCACACATAGTAAACATACATTCATACACACAGGCAAAACATTCATACAAATAAAATAAACCTTAAAAAGAGTAAGGCTCGGGCTGGAGAGATGGCTCAGAGGTTAAGAGCATTGCTTGCTCTTCCAAAGGTTCTGAGTTCAATTCCCGGCAACCACATTGTGGCTCACAACCATCTGTAATGAGGTCTGGTGCCCTCTTCTGGTCTGCAGACATACACACAGACAGAATATTGTATACATAATAAATAAATAAATATTAAAAAAAAAACGAGTAAGTCTCTTTAAAGGAATAACTAACCTGCTGAGAATAGCCTCGGAATGTTGGGTTCACAGTTTTAATTCCCTGGAACAGATTAGCAGGCACAACAGATCCCGGCCTGAAAAAGAAACAAAAAGAAACAGGTTTAAATAGAGATTTTTGTAGGTTTTTTTTTTCATTTTTTTATAATTTTATTACTCTCACAGTGAACAGTATTTTTCAAAAAACACAACTTCTAAACAGTGCTAAAAGAAAATTAACATAGTACATGAAATAATCACCAATATTACCACTATGCGTAGACACAAGACACAGGCAGCTGGCGAGGCCTACTCTGCCTGTCGTGCCCACAGTCTGGGGAAGCTTTGCAGCACTGCGACCACACATCTCCATGACAGGAACTGCAGCTCACATATCAGCAGCTGACACTGATGGCCACATCGCCTCGTCTGCATTTCAGTTTCAAATCTTTCGCCTGACTTAACTCAAACCGATTCCCACACTTTCTCAGCCCTTCAAACAGATCTGCACTCTTTCTATATTTATATATTGATTTTTAAAGATAATTATTGTAAGTACATACCTGCTCTTGTGCCACAATTCTGTCATTAGCTTGAGATAACTTTTACAAATTGCTGGCTTCTTATCTGTTCTAGCCAATCCTCCACAATCAAGAAAGAACTGTGTCAAAGGTGGGCTAGTTTAAGAGAGAGGAAAATATTAGAGTGGAATCAAAGTTCAATTCTCATTCATTTCTAGTTGCCCAGTGAACCGACGGCACACGCCAGCCTCTACCTGTCAGGCCTTCTCCCTCTGCCTCATTCATAAGTTGAACCACGCACATGTAGAAGGCCAAGTCAGAGTCCTCTATGCTGCCCACTCAGGGAGCACCTGTCAGTTCTGTCTCTGTGACATCTGTAACATGGGACTCCCCTCACCATGTCTTTCATTTATTTATTTACTTATTTTTTTTCCTTTTTAAAAATGTATTTTTCTCTCATATATTACATCTGGACCACAGTTTCCCTACATCTTCCTCCCATTCCCTCTCCTCAGATGCCCTGCTCCTGCAGTTCCCTTTAAAGCAGGCCTCAGGGGTATCAACCAAACTCAGCTGTCTCAGTCAGGGTCTCTACTGCTGTGACAAAACACAGCTGGGGAAGGAAGGGTTTGACTACTAGAGGAAATTTTTGCTTTGCTTGGATATTTGATGCTGCTGAGCTAGAGCTAAGAAATAAGCGGTGAATAAGGTAATTTCTGGACTATAATTATAGCCAGGAGGTGCTGGCAAACGCCTTTAATCCCAGCACTCAGGAGGCAGAGACAGGTGGATCTCCATGAGTTCGAGGCCAGCCTGGTCTACCAAGTGAGTTCCAGGACACCAAAGGTACAAAGAAACCCTGTCTCAAAAAAACAAACAAACAAACAAAAAAACAGAAAGGAAGGAAGGACGAACGGACAGAAGGACCACTCAGGTGCGATCTTCTGGGAAGTGTTTCTGGGTGGCCAAGGTTGTACCCGTGCTGGCAGGCAGACTTGGTAAAGTCTAGAAGTCACCCAGGTGGTACTGGTTTTGAAAGCATGAAGAGGTTATGGAGGGCAGCTGGGGTTTAGCACTGTGAGAGGCCAGGAGAGGCCACTGGTGAAGGTGCAGCTCTGCACCGTTGAAGGGCCAGGACTGAAGGGGTCATGCAAAGATGACGTTTGCCACCATGAAGAGAGCCTATGAGAGGCTGCTGGTGGAAGTACAGCCCAGTTGCAGCAGAAAACCCCAGCATTTTGGAGATGCCGGTACTATGGGTTAACCACAAGAACAGCAGCAGTCGAGGAAAGCCAACTGGAGCCTAGAAGCTCTGTATGCTGCAGAGGGCAGAGCCAGAGAAGTGACCCAAGTCCTTCGGAGGAGCCCAGGAGATGTTGAGTGAATCCCAGATAGCGGAACATTGAGTGATTTATACTGCTGGAGTTTGGTTTAGTTGGCTCAGATTGTGACTGTGCCCTGCCTGATTCTTCCCTCTTAAAGAGAGTATTTCTTTTATTCTTTATTTAAGAGAGATTACAGTTGAGAGACTTTGAATTTTAAAAGAAATTGGCTATTTTAAAGGGTCTGAAATTTCAATGTGAGCTCTTGGTGAATAAGAAAGGACGGGTTGTAGCTTAATAAGTGGTGTGTTTGTGTGTCAACCTGACACGGGTCAGTTTTACGGGCTGGTTGTGTGT